AAGGAGCACAATATTGTCAAGAGTTTACGTAACAAAGATTGTTCCTACCTAAAAGCTGATAAGGGAAATAAGGTTGTTTTATTAGATAAAAAAGACTATTACTATAAGGTTAACAACTTAATTGATAATGGTTCCTACATAAATTTAAAAAAGAATAATTGTCTAAGTCGCCTATACGGTGGTATTAATATATCGATTTTTGATGATAGTGCCCTTTTACCCGGTCTAATTTTGTACTACTTTCGGAATAAGGGTCCCCATATCATGTACTGTACTTCCATCCCTGAAAAATTCAGCTTTTGACACCGAAGTGAGAGGTAACGTCAAAATAAGCTTTAATCTACCTACATCCTAGGTAGGTGTAGGTACTCTAGGTATATTCTACCTAGACAGTAGCTGAACTAGCTGACAGTAGTAATTAATTTGTTATCCGATAAGTAGTTGTCATTATATAAGTTTAATCATCTTATACCTCCTATAACGGTAGGTTTTGGATTTTTCCTGATTGGTTTGTTAAACAAAAATATACTGGGCATATAAATGTCTGTTACAGGTTAATTCGTTAAAGAAATATGTTACACACATATTATTTTAATAATAATAGTATAATAGTAATGGCTATATTATGTTATAACACATACATATGTATTGAATGTACTTATTTTAACCAATGCATTGTTTTGTTTTTTTAATCTCACAAATAAGAAATGTTTTATAGTTTTTATTATAAAAAACAGTGATTATACAATTTATTTACACCCCTTACACTGTTTTCTGTAAGGGGTGTAACCAGGAGTATATTTCGTAACCTCTTACGATATAAGAGGGCACAAAGTGTTTTATTACTTAATGCTTAAAATTTAATAATATATTTGTACATAAAATAAAATAGACTAGAAAGTCAATTAATTAATATTGACGTAATTACTAAATAAGTACAAGATTTTTTTTCTAATTATTTTAGTGTATTTTTAGTCACCTAATTATAAAGGAGAGATATCCAACCATTGCATTATTTTACTCACAAATAAATGTTTTATGGTTTTTATTATAAAACAACGATTAATTTATTATACACCCCTTAACCCAAACACTCCAAGGAGGATATTTCGTGACCCCTTATTTAAAGTGGACAAGCTTTATTAGTCAATGTTTTAATTACCCAGCGTCTTTAATAAAAATCTAATGTAATTTTTCATAGAAATGATCTGACATAAAAAGCAAATTTTATCAAAAAACTTTTTGATTATCTACAAGGAGTAAACCGCTGACAAATGTCTGTATACTAATGCCAAAGTAATGCCAAAAATACAAATTAAATACCAAAATTTCTCATATAATGCCCCACTAATGCCAAGCTGATTCCAATATAATACCACTAATACCACGAATAATATGTAACACATTTGTTTCACGAATTAACCTGTAACAATACTGGTAGGTACGTGCACAGATTTTTTCCTAGGTAACTTAAAAGTCGTTAAAAAGTCTAATTATATTTAAAGAAGATATAATTCCAACAAATTACATTATAAGGCCAATAATGCACAAGTAATACCATTAAAATTTTAGCGTTTTTAACTTGTGTAACATATTTCTTTAACGAATTAACCTGTAACAATAGTGGTAGGTACGCGCACAGATTTTTTCGCTAGGTAACTTATTAAGTCGTTAAACAGGCCTATAAAAGCTATAACAACATAGGTAACTAATATTTATAATTTAATTCGAGTTTTAATCTCAAATAATAAATGTTTTTACTGGTGTATTTCTGAAGTGTTCATTATTAAAAGTAGATATTCTTCAAGTTATGCGAAGTAATAAGTAATGTTTCCGGTGAGACCGCGTATATGTCACCGGATTCTGGTTAGTATAAAGACTTTTTCTATAGAAAGAGTTTTTTCTATATTTTCCTTTCAAAATAAGACTAATTTCTTCTTATTCTTTTAAATATTACAGTGTTTCTTTTTCCTAAAATGTTATACTTAATTTTCGCTTAAAATTAAAAAATCACAAATGGAGGAAAATATACGTTATTGAATAAAGTTTATACAAATCACTTTACCATAACAAAAAAGTAAAAACATGTCATGGCGGAAGATATTCAGGTGGCATTTCACACATTTATCTATTAAAATCGAGATTAAAATAATAAACTTGCGTAACATGTTATACACGAGATAGAAAATTTCAGAATCGATTAATACGCAATACGCTACGCAGTCAACTTATTCCTATGCGCGGATGAGCGTCTTCAAGACTCTTCCTTCGGCCAGGGTCACGACGCAGCCGAAGAGGAATCGGCCTACGTTTGGCTAAACAGGCTGGACACGGTGGAGTACGATATTAGCGAGTCTGAATATTTATAAAAATTTGCAAAGTAAAATATGTTGGAAAAATAATTAATCCATACATATATAAAAGCTCAAAGGGTTTTTTTGTTGCATCCATCCCGCCGAAACCGCTTTGCCAATCTTGATGATTCTTTCTTTAAATGAAAGGTATATATGTGTAGATTTGTTATGAAGTATTTTTATAGTGCTTAATGGCTATTTCTTTGTGTAAAACGACTAAATACTAAAACATGCCTGAAAAACACCTACACACAATACCTCCAGATATAAATTATTTGTCTTTGTCAGTGGTGTGTCAGTTAGATTATATATTACGTTTTTAGATATTTTAGAGTAAGTTCATGCCGCCAGCTTTACATACATAAATATTAGCACAAAGGTTCGTTTAAACGACATTAGTGAATTAGCTACACAAAGCGATTTTAGGAAATTCATCCTCTTAGAGAGTAAAATTATCTCGGAACAGTTTGTTGTATGAAAATTCCTTACTATTTGGTCTAGAAGAATGAAATCCTACAAAAAGAATTAGAAGAATTTTTTTAAATTCATCAACCAAATGGGTAAAGTTAGTAAAAATTTATATAAAACTTGGTGACCTCTGGATTATACACATAAAAATTGGCACAAAGGTAAAGCGAATTTATGAAATTTATACCCTTAGGGAGTAGAATAGGGAATGAAAGTTTGCTCTACGAAAATGCAATACTTTAACATTATAAACCAGACAGTATAAAATTTTATACAAGGGTTTATTTAGTGACATCATAACGAAATATATCTTCCTCAATTATCCTTCAAAGAATAAAAAATAACCTATAAAGAGAGTATTACTGCTCTTAATAAATAAAAAAAAATGCAAAATAAAAAACATCTATGCTCACTAGCTCTCTATAAGGAAGTAAAAAATCATTTAAATCAATGCATGAAGGATTCGAGATGTAACGCGAACGTAGTCGCGAGAAAAAGCTAGTAATTTATTAAATTATTTTATTTAACTCATTAATTTTCATTGAAAAGGAATTTTTGTAATTCGCCACTATATTAGTTAAAAACGAAGAAACTCATATCAAATTTAAGTTTTGCGATTTTGACTTATACTTTTTACAAAATCTGCACACATTTTAAAAGAAAAAAAGTTTTTGATAATATTTGTGTAGATTGACTACAAGTTGTATAACATAAATTTCTACGACCGGTCTACCTAGTAGTCTGCAGCATCGCCTTGTGGTGCAAACGTGGGCCTGTTAATCTGTGACGTGACGCACAACAGCCAAGAAAAACAGAAGCTTGGCTAAGAATTTAGTAATTTAAAAAAAAAGTCTTTTAGATACAGTATTAGGTATTAAAAAGTTTTGTGTTTAAATGGGGTTTGCCTTTAACAGTTAAAAAATTATATCGTAAAGTGTAACTTTCCGTAAGAATTCTTTTTTTTGCTTGCTTGTTTTACGGATAGATGCGATCGCATAATTATTATTGATAATGTTTTATTTAATTTAACATTAACATTACTACTTTTTCAGTGAATCTTTAAATCTGTTGTTTCTTGTTAAGTTCGTTATTTAAACATATGTATGTAATACACTCATATTAACACTAATCATATTTTTACGTTTTTATTCATCATTTTCAATGCCCCCCCAGTTGCATCTTTGTAAAGGACTGTGAATTTTTTATTATTGCAACACAATATATCTGATCAATAAATAATCTTCGATAAATATTAATATTTAGTATTATAAACTTTGATACCCTCGGAGAGCTGAAGCCTTAAAATTTTTACTGCAATTTCATAAAATTGAAAATATTTCAAAAACGGTAAGGATTAAGTGTAATAAACCTTAATCAAATTTACCTTTATTTCAATCCTGAAATCTAAAAACATAATAATATACAGGGTGTTCCATTTAAATAAATACAATTATAATATTTTTTACTTATTTGGGATACTCTGTATCTTGTAAAATTATTTTTAAATTGTAGCTCTAATAGTACTTCAACGAACCCAAAACTTACAATTTGTACAAATCTAATCGTTTAGCTACGATACTCCGCGTCGTATGTGGTGAACAACCCTGTATTTCTCGCATAATGCAATGTTGGATTATAAATACTTATATCATTTAGTTTCTGGAAGACGATCGAAGAAACAATCGATATAAACACTAAAATACTTACCAACGATTCAAAATTCAAAAACTCTATACACAAAATGCAAATATGCCACTGCAATTATCGATCGTTTCTGTATCAAAGCCAAACCTGAACTAAATCTTCTTCCATCTGCCCCGACATGCTAAATTAATCATCCGTCTGATGAAAGGGATTCGCAAACGCAAATCACTTTTTAAATTCCGTCCTAATTACACCGCATAACAATTGCTTTTACGGCAAACGACGAAATAAAAAACACACAAAACGACGACCACCAATCCGCCTTTTCTAGATTAGCTCGTGCTCTCTTTCCACCAGAAAGAAGATTGCTCTTGCTACCACTCTTCACGCTTGTCATCCGATAATTGCTTATTGCTCCATTTACTTTCGACATCATCATCCTTCTCGGCGAATGTACGCTATTTTTTTTCTCTCTAATTCATCAATTTGATGTTCTCAAATCCGATTTTTCTACGGTATAAAACCGCTCGCCTTTCAAAGTGCATCGTCATTCTAATTCGGCTAGTTAGACGATGATCATGCCGAACTTCGCGACATTTTTATTATTACTTTTCGGGATCCTATCCACCCAGTTTGTTAACGCGGAATTCAGAAAAACCTTCTCGAAAAACTGTGATAAAAGTTACACCCTAACCTGCCTGAAACTGGACATAGTCACCTGGGTCGACAAACTAAACACCATCGAAGGTTACAGTGTTCTACCCGGTATATCTATAGTGCGCGAAAACAACGCTAGTGCTGACATAAACGTGACGGAAACAGTCACAAACCTAGCCAGGGAATTCCCTAATGATCCTGACGCAAGACTTGATGCTTTCCTTCTCAAAAAAGTGTCAGGGTTTATCGAAAATCACTCGATAAGGTTAAAACTCTGGAATGAAAACACCGACGGTTCTACAGCTCGTAAAGGAGGCGGAGGAGGAGGTTTTGGAGGAGGCGGTGGAGGTGGAGGTGGTAAAGGAGGAAAAGGAGGTGATGGTGGGATGGGCTACATCCTCGCAGCTGGAGCTATGATGAAAGGAACACTGATGGCAATGGCTATGGCCGGATTAGCTGCGATGGCAGGAAAAGCTTTGATGGCTTCTCTAATTGCGTTAATGTTGGCAGCTCTATCAGGGCTAAAAGGAATGGGAGGTGGAGGTAAAACAACGTATGAAGTTGTAGCAAAACCGGTGTACACTCAATCTTCTTCCCATTCGGTGTCGCATGAAGATTATGGTCATGGGCATTCGGGATATGGAAGGAGTTTAGACCAGCCGTTGCCTTTGGCGCTTCAACCCGGATACTATCCAGATCATTAAGTTACTTTTGAATTAGATGCCAGTTTATTTATTTTTATTTATTATGTTATTGTTGTTAGGTTTAGATGTAAATAAAGCATTATTACTTAAATAGGTTCGTTTCTCTTTTAAAACTTTTTTTAGGATTCTATGAAAAGAATATTTGAGAATTATTTTTAATACGAAATCTTCAAAATGGGTAAAGGAGTAATTTATATTTATTTGTTGCGTATATTTATGATTCATACAGTATGACCCCGGATTGTCTCTACAGGAGGAAAAACTGTTATTTTAAAAAATTATTAACATTTTAAGAAAAATGCATTCTTCACAAAAAAAATTTCTTGTTCTAAAATGGTTAATTCCGCTTATAGTTTTGCAAATTTCCAAGTCCGAAAAATCAAAAGGCGTTTCTATCTATTATACTAATATATAAAATCCTTAAGTGACTGATATACTGATTAATCACGATCCTGCTCAAACCACTCAATGTAAGAAGCAGAATTTTGGCATACAGGTGGATTCTAGGGTGTAGAGATTCGTTAAGAAGAGATTTTTCGAAACTCGAATTCTAAGGGGGTGAAACTATCCCTCAAATATTAAAAGATCTTTATTTAAAAACCGGTGAGTTTTTCTGAAAAACTCTTAAACACGTATATTTTATTTTGTTGTTTTACATATTTTAAGATTTTTTATAAATTTATACAGGGTGTTTCATAAAATATGACCATTAAGTAATTACGATTCTGCTTAAACTGCTTGACGTTTAAAGCTGATTTTTGGCAAACGGATTGACTGTGGGGTGTAGAGGTTTCTCGAATCTCAAATTCCAAGAGAGTGAAAACGCCCCTCAAATATTACAATATTTGTTATTTATAAAACGGTTAGTCTTTCGGGAAAACGCTTGGTCAAGCATAATTTATTTGGTTTTTTACATATTTTGAAATTTTAAAAAAAATCATACAGGGTGTTCCAAAAAGTTGGGTAATTTTTTACCACGATTCTGCTTAAACTGCTTGACGTAAAAAGTTTATTTTTGGCAAAGGGATTTTTCGAAAGTCAAATTCCAACGAAATGAAACTACCCCTCAAATATTACCAAGTTATATAATAATATCGCCATATTGTTTTTTCTCATGCTGACATAAATGTGAGAAAATTTTATCTAGTTTGTATGTTAATGGAAATTCTTGCTTTGCTTTATCATCACCATTAATATTATTAATATCATTCATCACATTCATCACATTCTATTATTAATCTCGTTAATATCTAACCGACACTTTCTGACAAGTCGGAATTAACTATCTCTGCGCTGTGGTTGTCATTTTGTGGATCTGCCCAAGCTCACCTGATGATGGAGTAGGGCTCCGAAACCGGTAGTGAGAGCAGGTTGATCCACATTATGACAAACAGCGTAGAATTAAATTTCTATATCAGCAGTTAACTGACAAGAATCCTTATATAATTTTATTATATACCTATACTGCAAGAAATTTGTTTTCTATTTTATAATTTGGGTTGCCTGAAAAAAAGCCTTTTACCATCCTTTTACTATCGATAGTGCGCCTCGGTGGTATGAAAGTACTACCATTGCACGCAGGCCGCTATCTCCCGTTCGGGACTTAATATCTAACCGACACTTTCCGACAAGTCGGAATTAACTATCTCTGCGCTCTGGTTGTCATTTTGTGGATCTGCCCGAGCTCACCTGATGATGGAGTAGGACTCCGAAACCGGTAGTGAGAGCAGGTTGATCCACATTATGACAAACACAGCGTAGAATTAAATTTCTATATCATCAGTTAAGTGGCAAGAATCCTTATATAATTTTGTTATATGTTTAAATAAATGCATATTTTATCTAATGGTTGTTTTGATTAAGAGAGAGAACCTGGTATAGCGACCCTAGCAAACAACCCCCAGCTAGGTCACGACAATATAATTTTTAGATATTACTTAAACTTTCATTTTAGATCAAAATATAGAAGATAAAAACAATGTACTTTTACCTTTAGTCAATATTTTTAGTGGAACAACATTTAGAGAATTTCTATTAAAAACAGTAAATCTAGTTAAATCCTTTCAAACGAAAGTAACCATGTTGTTCGAGTATTGCAAGTTTTTCAACAATCTCTTTAAATTTTCAATTAAATTTCTTTTACTCTTTATTATATCTAATACCGGTTGATTACGTGCTCCAGATCATCCTTCAAAAGAAACGAAAACATAAAGTGAACGCATAAAGAACAGAAAATATTTAATTATCTACACCATTATCACTTTCTCGAAATAAAATATATATTATGTAGATTTAATTAAATTAAATACATGATTATAGTAGAAAATCAAGTATTCACTCTCCATTTTGAAGTACACACTTTATAATAATTATATTTGTATATTCTATTCGGAATCAAAACTCGTTCTCGGAATTACTAAGCAGTGGCAAATTATTTTGCATATTATCTGCGATGCATAATAGGAAAATTTTCATTGTAAAGTAATCTTCCAAAGTAGAGCACAAACATCAATTATATGTAGATTTGATTAATCGAATATAACAGGTAGTTAACCTAATTTTAATGAAACACTTTAAATTAGTGTAAAAAAAGTTTAGTTCATTGCGAAGGTGAATGTATAACAGTATTTCAAATTAAAAAAAGAAAACTCTGGGCAGATTATAATACATACGCTCTATTACCTAACTAATGCAGTAAAATATTTGTTAAGAAATGTCTTGTAAACCGAACTAAATGTCTTTTCTTCAAACAACTTTATCAAATCATACAGGGTTGTTCGTTATAATTTAGACCTCATTTATCACTATTACCCATGGAATATTGACAATTTAGATCATTTTTAAAGATGTAACAAATTTTCAAAATGTAAAAAACAATGTTACAGATACTAATATTGCCGATATAGTTCGCTTATTTCATTTTAAAGAGGACCAATTAATATGATCCCAGTATTCAAACTACATTAATTGACTGTTTACGTTGATTAACAATAATTGCTCTAAATACTAAAAAATTGAATTTTGTATGTATTTTAAACAGTCAGTGTGGTAAAAACACCTTATAAATTTTAAATAATTTTTTGGCAAATGCTATATTTATAACAACAGAGATGATCATTTTTATAACTTATTATTGCATTGATTTCTGAGTCAAATCCATATTTATTTAGAATAATTTATTAATTAAAACAATTGAATATGTAATTAACTAATTTTTGGGCGGAAATAATGTTGGTATATTAATAATTAGCAATAATTGGTATACTCATTTACAAAGATTTAATAGTTTTCTTTTTGTAAACAAATAACCTTGCAATATTATTATTTTTACCACCTGTACATTTTGTACATATTATGTTGCTTTAAAAAAATCTAAAATGTCAATAATATTCCATGGGTATAGTGATAAATGAGGTCTGAATTAGAAGAAAAAGCATTTTCTACGAAAACTTGAAGAGATAAGTAAAAAATGATATAAAACAATTTAATAGACAATTAAATTGTGCATCTGATTCACGTAAAATATATAGGGTGTTCCATTTAAATTAAACAAGTTATTGCCGTTTAAAGTTAGTAATTATTTAATATAAATTTTTGGACAGTCTGTATAAAGTAGTATAATTTTTATTATTACATCACAATGTCTAATCGATAAATAATCTTCAGTAAATATTTAGTATTAAAACCTTTAATACCCTTGGAGAAATGAAGCCTTAAATTTTTTACTGCAATTTCACAAAATTGAAAATATTTCAAAAACGGCAAGGTTTGAGTGTGATAAACCTTAATGAAATTTACCTTTATTTCAATCGTAGAATCTAAAAATACAATACTATACAGGATGTTCCATTTAAAAAAATACAACTATAATATTTTTTACTTATTTGGGACACTCTATATTTTGTAAATTTGTTTTAAATTGTACCTCTAATAGTCCTTCAACGAACCCAAAACTTAAATTTGTAAAAATCTAATCGTTTAACTAGCTCGTCCGTGTCGTATGTGGTGAACAATCCTGTATATCTATAGGGTGGTCCGAAATGTATTCCGAAAATTTCCGTAGCATATTCTGCAGAGATATAAATAAAATAAGAAAAAAAGTTCGTATAAATGTATGCTCTAAAATACTTAGTTTTGGAGATACAGGGTGTAGAAGCTTCTTTTTTATTTCGATTGTTTAACGACAATATTTGGATGAAAATTGGTGTTTGGGAGTATTTATTTTGACACGGAGAAATTTGATTTTGATGTCAATATGATTTCTATTTGTAGGAGGCGCTACTTACATTTTCTTTAACTGTTTTGAAGAGTAATAACTTTTTGTCCGTACTTGTATAAAACTACCGAGTAAAAAAATATACCTACATTTGCCTGTTTTTTTACATAAAAAATGTCTCTTGGTAAAAATCGCTAAGAGCAGCCGTTCTCAAGATATTTAGAATGGCAGTCAATACATGTCATTATTGACTAAAAAAAATGAATGTGTTTGTTTCTTAACTAACATAACTAAAAAAAAATATCCTACAAAATTTAATATCTACATATACAAATTGAAATAATCATAATTCTTAACTTACATTACTAATACAAAAAATAAAACAATTATCCCTCAAAATACGTTTAACTAATGCTTAAGTAAATTTCTTTGAATTGTGCATTGAGGTATGATTTGATTATTGCCCTGTTTGTTTTTTTTGTCAATTTTTCTAATTATAGTTGATTATACGGCTCCCCTCACCTTATGATTTTGGTCTAGTTGTTTTAATTTTCAAATTTAGCTTGCCATATTGTTATCTGTGATTGAACAATTATTGTGATAATAATTAATAAACATCTTAAAGATTGTGAGTTATTTGTCCCCTTACCCGCCTTCAGAGTTTTTACTTTGATAATATGTACTCACACTGGGTTAGAGAACGTTTAGTTTTAAAATAAAAATGTTGAGTAGATAGTTATTTGAGTGAAATGATAAATTTGGGAACTTTTTATTTTTTTAAATTAATCATAAATTTTCCTTCGAAAAAATGATGA